GAAAACATGTCCCCTCGGATTTTGCACAGATTTTGCACGGAACAGTTTTCTGATGAAACTTTCAGAAAACATGTCCCCTCGGATTTTGCACGGTTTCTGATAAAACTTTCAGAAACCTGTAAATGCACGGATTTTGCACGGAAAGTTTTTTATAAAACTTTCAGAATTCAGGGTGATCCAAATCATGGTCGATGGGATCGATTCTCAAGTCACGGAGTGAAGGATTCAATTATCTCGTCCCCCCAGACGGCGCCAAAATGTGAGGGATAAAACTCACTTTCTAATTTAGGTTAGGTTAAGATTGGGGAGAAGACAATCGTGGGCTGAATCCCTTAAGAACTTAGAGAATGAATTATGATTGTATTGATGAATAAGGGTTACAAAGATGATTATGATGAGTACAAAGAATATAACCGAATGATTTGAGAGTTACAATGTGTGTATAAATTTGTAAAAAGCGTGAATGAATCCAGAGAGAGAGAGAGCTTTTCTCTGATCTCCTCCTTCTCCTTAAATAGCTCTCAGCCACGTTTGAAGGATCCTAACCAGCCTCCGAGATTTGCTCCGTGAATTGGGGGATTCTCAACAGTCTCCTTTTGACCGGGTCCTGCGCAACCAGCCTGAGCTACTCCTGTTAACTCCTTGTAAATGAGGTCCGGAGCTCTCTTGTTAGCTCCTTGTAAATGAGGTCCGGAGCTCTCCTCCGTGACCTGTTTATAAATGAGGTCCGGAGCTCTCCTCCGTGACCTGTTTTGTTGACGTTCCTTCCTTAGCAAAAACAGCCTCCGGCTTCTTTTTGACTTTTTTCTCAAAAGATTAATTGCCAATGGGCTTACAGTGGCCCATAGTCAACTCTTATCGTTCTAGCCCATTAGTCTCAGCTAGCGGGCCATATTTGGGCCCAACACCGTCCAACGCCTCAAATATTCTTAGTTATTTTCTGTACGTTAGCCAATTATTGTACTAGATATAACAAAAAATTGTGTGGACCTCGTTGTCTACATGTCAACCTTTTCACTGTACAATTAAGTCTAGATCGGGTATATAAACCATAGGGACACATTTACTTAGCTTTTAAAAGGTGCCTCTGAGAGTTTCTTCTCATATTATTTGCGGCGGGTGGCTGAGAGAAACAACCGATCTTCCATCCATGTTAAACTCAAACCTCTTCATTCCTTTGCTTATCTCATCTGATACGCTAATGTTATCACCTGTGGGCCCTATATAATCTGCTAGGTTGAGTAGATGAACACTGAGTTAGGTCCTGACATACCTCGTAGGTGTCCTTGCGGCGCACCGACCGTTGTCCTAACTTCAAAAACAAAGGAAAATCCCGGTAGAAGATTCTACAGATGCGGAGTAGTGTTTGGGGAAAATCAATTGTTCAAATGGGCAGATGATGCCATGTTGGAGGAGATTGAATCACTTTCGGTCAAACATGAGGACAGAATGATTTGATTGAAATCAAGGACCAAGTTGAGGACATGAAAAAGATATCACGGAGATTGTCGAACTCATGGCTGCTATTTCAAAGAAAATTCGCAAGTGATGTTAATTATGTGGTGAAAAGGTTGCGAGTTTAGGGTTTAGGGTTTAGAGTTTAGGGTTTAGTGTTTAGTGTTTAAATCTTTTGTGTTTAGAGGATAGGGTATGCCGGTTTAGGGTTAGGATGTATAACTCATGGTTAAGTATTATTATAGCTTGATGGTTACATATTATTATAGCCGGCGATGTTGCTTATATATCACGGAATCACATTTATTTAGTGAGATTAGAGTTAATTATTATATTATCCGGCTAAGTGATGTATAGTTGAAGACAATTGAACTAATAAGCTAAGTGATGTATATGGTTAGGATGTATAACCCATGGTTAAGTATTATTATAACCGGCTATATGTCCTTTCTATCGCATAATTACATCTATCTTATTAGCTTGGGATAATTTTTATATTATCCGGCTACGTGATGTGTAATTAACGTCAATTGTACTAGTAACCATAAAGTATTTGAGTGTAACCGTAGATTTTAGTTATTGGGAGTTTTCGTTTATGCTATACGGGTTAGGTTATAAGGATATGTGGTTTATTGTCGAGCTCTTTAATGTTTACTGTTAAGGGTTTATGGTTTAGGGTTTGGGGTTTATGGTTTAGGGTTTATGGTTTAGTGTTTAAATCCTTTGTGTTTGGAGGATAGGGTATGCCGGTTTAGGGTTAGGATGTATAACTCATGGTTAAGTATTATTATAGCCTGATGGTTACGTATTATTATAGCGGCGATGTTGCTTATATATCACGTAATCACATTTATTTAGTGAGATTAGAATTAATTATTATATTATCCGGCGAAGTGATGTATAGTTGAATACAATTGAACTAATAAGCTTCTTCTTAGCTGGGTTTATTGTTTGTATCATCATCACACAGAAACCTAACACATTCAAACTGAAGAGAACTTATTATTATATTCTCCGGCTAGGGTAATGTATAGTTGACGACAATTGAACTTATGAGGTTCTTCTTAGCCGGATATTCTGCTTATCATCACACAGAAACCTAACACATTCAAACTGAAGAGAACTTATTATTTATAAGACAAAGCGTTTATCCAAAGCCCCTACATACCCAATATGGCGTCTTAATACTTATATTAAACATGCGTAGCAATTTATTCCACCATTAGCTTCCATCATTCCGTCCATTACAAGTCTGCCCATCGCGAAAAGTTCACCTCCTATCACTTTCACACAATCGTTCTCTTATATTGGGTTTTGCAAGTGGCCTTATTGTGTCCAACGCCCTTGCACCTCCTGCACATGATCTTCCGGCGAACGCATTTCATATGCACGCATATCAATTGCTAAACTGGTTACTAAACAAAAATACATTAGATAAGTAACTACGTAACTACACTTACATGTTGCTCTCCCCTTGAGAAGTACCTCAACTTCTTAGGCCTCCCTGGTGGACGGCGTGTTGCAGGTGGAGCTAAGTTGAGGGCAGTTAGATAATCTGGCAGCTCTATACCACCGGTAGAACCTGTCTCGGGGAGGACAATTCTTCCATAGGCAAGCCTCAGTGTGTTGACCTTGAATAGTTCAATGACTAGGTCATTGACATTTATCTTAGTTTTCAGGGCCGCAGCTGTAGCGTGGGAGCATGGTATAGCTAGCATCTGAAATTCAAAACAGCTGCAGGTCATATTTTTTAGGTTAACATGGAACCTTACGGCACTCTTGTTACGTATTTTGTACTCCTTCTCAGCAATTTTGATAACCTCATATCCATCAGTCATCTCGAAGTTTGTTATGAGAATCCCTTCAATGTGAGGTGTAACCACACCACCAAGCTTGTTATCTTCATCACGCCTAGTTGCGAACTATGTTGTGAGTTTCAACCGAAAAAATTCAATGAATGGGACAATTGGAAACTCCCTCGCTTCCCGCAACACCGAATTCCATGATTCCGCCAAGTTACTGTTCATGACGTTGTACCGGTTACCGGAGAAATGGGAGCACGCCCAGTGTTCAAGCCCAATATCTATCAAGTACGCTACACACGACGGATTCATCTCTTTGATCTTGTTGAAAGTTGTGTAAAAATCGTGCAACCTATAAGCTCTTGCGGCCTTTGCGACTAGATGTTCTAAATGCCTCCCGCGGAAATTGGACCTGATGTTTCTCTTAAGATGGACGACGCAGACACAGTGGCCAGCATTAGGATACACCTGAAATTTGTACATGAATTAGCCGGTCATGTAACATCTTCGCTAATAACTTTATATCTTAACCATCTATCAGTTAAGTTAATAACCTAATTCTAACTATACACGGTTACAGACAAAGTTGACCTTTATCACGATTACCTTGCTTATGCCTTTGTAGATAGAGGGGTGCCTGTCAGATACGAAAACCAATCATGCCTCGTTCAACACAAATTGAGATAGGTTTTGAAAAAACCATTCCCATGGATTGTCATTTTCGCTATCAACAATGGCAAAGGCTAATGGGAATATTTGGTAGTTACCATCTTGTGCTGAAGCTATTAGCAAACAACCAACATATTTCCCCTTTAAATGGGTCCTGTCAATGATCACAACTTTTTGCATAGCTTTATAACCTTCAATACAAGCTCTTAGAGCGAGAAACATGTATCCGAATCGGTTGCCTCCCTGCTCCATTGGATCCGTGTGCAAGTTAGCCAATGAACCAGGATTTGCTAACACAAGGTTGTTAAGATATGCCGGCAACTGGATGTATGAGGCATTGCAAGTTTCCTGGCCATTATCCACTGCCTCAAACACTTCAGAATCCTTCATCTTTATTGCATACACGCGTCATGGACAAGATGCGCTGACACATTGCAATACCATCATCGCTGGATCCGACTTTGTGCTTCTGAAACAAAACTTCTGCGCAATTGCAAACATTGCTACATGCTGCTTGAATGCGTCACGATTCCTGAACATCCTTCCAACTTGTATGTCATCTCTAAATGCATACGTATCACCCGCTGTAAGAAAAACAAAAATAAATATGTTTACTTCATGGTAACCAGTATGGGAAAACATTTCACAATGCGATTTGTAACCGGTAAACAATAGTATTGACGTATGAAGGTATGAATTACTTTATAACTAAAGTCATTCATAAACTACCACCGGTTAACAAAATTGTTCTCTTTCGATATGCATCCCTATATTATATTGTCCCCAAGCAAGTTATATTGAATAACCAGTTAATAATATTAACCCCCTTAGACCTACCTGTTACTGTATGACATAAGCAATTCATATAGGCTACTCGGTTAACAAGTAAATTGACATCACACCAAATTCATACTATACAAATTATGCAACCCAAATCGTCTAACCGGCTTTCAATATTATTGCCCTTCTTTGAATTTTTCTTAGAGCGGCTATGAATATTTCTGAAAAAATCATCCTTTTAATGACTTAAAAATACAAAAGTTTGTTTAATGATTTACTTTGTAAGCTTAGACAACATCATACTTAATGTTTACATTAGAGAAGACTTTACAAACGGAATTAATTACAAACATAAGCAAATATAAACATGCACCATATCCATTATATTTTTCATTATAGCAGGAAACAAGTACATCATTTTCATACACCTGAAAACATCAAACCCCTAAAAACTGTCCTTTTATGCCAACGACTTCCGAAAGAGAAATTCAAAAAATACATATGAAAATACCTAGAGTTTGTCTCGGTTACGTAAAAGTTTAACCCCCAAAAACATTCCCCCACGGGATAAACTTTGTTGTAACCGAGCATTAGCTGCACCATACCCTTAAAAGGCCAAACGCTAATAAACCTACTACCATATTAAACATTGCACTTCAAAGGACTTTGATTCAAAACCCACCGTCGTTGTCGCTACCCTCTGAGGATGTGTTTTTGGCTTTATGAGCTTCTGGTGTCTGACCATCACTTGCTGCTGACCCTCCTCCCACACTCACCTTCAGTGTCACAGCTGGGTTGCTGTTGTTGCTTTCGTCATAACCATCTAGATCAATAACTTCTGTGACTGAAAAATAACTTGGATTTAGTCAACTAAAACAACATAAATGATACTAATATCAAGTAATATCTAAAGAGCTATATACATACCCTCACCTCCCTTCTCATTGGTGGTCACCTCTTTCTCCTTGGTCATAACCTCTGCACCAAGAGGAGTACACACGATAGCATTGGAAGATGAGGATTCCCTGTAAGAGTCTCCATTTCCTACCTTCCTAGTCTCCTCTACAGTCAACCCCACACGGATTTTTTTATAACTGGCAATGTAGAATACTTCCTCATCAGCCTTGAGATTTGCTTCAATGACAGCCTCCCAAAAAGCCGCATCCTCAGCTAGCTTACGACGGCCCATTTCTGTGTTATACATCTCAGGATAGTCGAACAAGTCAAGACCAACATCCCAAAGAACAGATGGTGCATCCATAGCAGGGATGTGAGGCACTTGTTGGGACTCGAAGAGAATGATTGTCCCTGTATACCACAACCCCAGAAATGTTAGAGAAAACATAATACTAATGATGCAGAGGTGATGAAATAAAATTAACCGGCCAACAATATAATTGTACTTGGACCTCCAATTTCGTCCACACTACCATCTCCAGCCCCCATGTTCTGAGTAACATCAGCCATCTCAGCATCGTCATCAAGCTGAATGATCTCCATTCGTCGGACCACACCCTCACCGGTTCCGCATCCCATAATCCTATCAGCATACGCCATCTCCATGGCAACACGGTGGAGTATATCCATCTCCTCCTCCCCAAATATCTCTCTCATAACACTTTCCCTCACGACCAATCTCTGTCACAACACCAATCCTGTAATAATATATATTGATTAAGGTGCTCATCATAAGATAAAAATACATTTATGTGTAAGACATTGAAACACGTTTAAAAATACGTACTCTCGTAT